ATTCTAGCCATTGTTCAGAACATTGCAGTAGTCCTTGTTGTTTACCCCACACTGTATACGCCAGCATGAGGAAAGATAAAGATAAAAGCAAGGTTAGTTAATCTTTGAATTAACTACACAGTGCTTTGTAAAACTGATTGTTTTTGACCATGAGTTCTGGAATACTGTGGAAAATGTTATTCACTTAAGGGTGTAGGATGGTTGTGGTTTTTCTTTACTTGTACTACTGCTGTCTAGAAAGGTGTAAGCCATCCACATGGAAGATTTTTCTTTTTTTGAGGGGTTTCAGCAACTGTTTGGTACGAGCCCTTTTGACCTCAATAAATGCTCATGTTTACCTGCACCTATACTGTGTAGGCACATGCTACTGCTGTGAAGCATTTGTCAAGTCAGCATTAAGTGCATGAACTCTGTTGTGCACTTTTCCTATTAGAACTCCATCCCATTTATGGAAAAATCAAAGGGCAAAAACAGAGCAAGTACATACATTACACAGAGGGAACACATATGAGTATGCTACTTATGTTCACCTTGCATGCCTTTTGAGTTCACACTATATTCAAGTTGCTTTGGAAACTTTCAAGAATTTGTAGGGTTTTTTAATCTAATAAATGCTGATAAATTGATTTTCAATCTGACAGATCATAAATTGTGGTTCTATCGGTCAGTAATCTTAATATACCATCTTGTCCCTTAGGTTTTAAAACCGTGGTACTCATACTGTGACATGCAGCTCACTGGAAAACACTGTCTTATACTGAGGTTCGGTAAACCTCTCTCTCAGCTATCAAACCATATTAAAATATGTCTTTTTGCTTGCTTTCTAAATGTGCTGCCTCCAGTTGTGACTCTCTGCCAATGGATCAAACACCACTCATGGATCAGTTTCTCTTTTCACTCTGTTCATGTGTCCCCAAGTCTTTTGGGGGGATTGAGAAACCCTTCAGAATCAATATGAGGGCACCTAAGGCTACAGAGAAGAGGGCAGAAGGAAACTCTCAAAGTATGAACAAATGTCTCAATGTTCGACTTTTATTTTATTTCATTTTATTTATATACCACCTAACTAAGTGAATGCTCACTACTCTGGGCAGTGAACATAAAGGAAATTAAAGCCAGACTAGCATCATCACACACCCCAACATAACATAACAGACACAACAAAATCATATAGCAACATAAACTAAGCTCCAAATAAAAGCCATACATTTTTATCTCAGAGTGAATATGTTTTTAAAGGCCTAAGTGACTTTAGCAAGTTTTCTGGAAGTAAGAAAGGATGAGGCCAAGCATACATCCAGTGGTTTTGCATTCCAAAAGGATGGGGCCACCACTGAGAAGGCCCAGTTTGTAGCTGACATTCTTCTGGCCTCTCTTAGAGTAGACACTCTAAGATGCAAGGCCTGGGAGGAATTAGTGAAACAGATAGCAGTTTTTCAGGAGATATGCTCTAATAGATACTGTACCCACATTGGTTTTAAGCTTATCTTTTGCTTCATTTAGAATAACATAGATGCAAATTCTCCATGGCCAGTCTAAATCAATTCCTAAATAGATGAACTGTTTTCCTTGAAGTCCATCAAAGCAAAGAAGACCATTTTCTTTGAATCATAGAAACATAAAGTCAAACATGGCCAAAATAGGCATCTAGCCCAATGCTTTGCCACAAAATTGTAACTGGACACCCTAATGTGTTCACATATCTAAGAAAGGCAGGTCATTGCACAAGCACAGAGCACAAGCAAACTGTGTACCACAAACATACTGCACCAAAAGATGGACTATATTTGTGTTATGGACAGTGGTAAGGACAAACCTGTTCCATTGTGAACTCTGGAAAGGCAGTCAATAAACAATGAACATAAGCAAAACCTATCCACTTATTTTCAATCCAGGAACAAAATTGGAAGTTCATTTGCATTTGGCTCACCAAAAGTTTAGGTCTTGGCTGATAATAAAAAACAAAGAAATAAAAAACCCAACATCAAGCAGCAATATAGTATGTGGGCTCTGACCAGTTTAGAATTAGAAGTTGGAGCCTTCAGTCGTATGCAGGAATATAGCAAAACTGTAGAGGGCTGGTGAAATTAATTGGTTGTGACCTGAAGGCTAAGAATAAAAGAACAGTTGTCCCCATGAAATGTCCAACATTAATTAATTCATTTTATTTATATAGCACTTTTCAAAAAGAAAGAAAGAAAGAAAGAAAGAAAGAAAGAAAGAAAGAAAGAAAGAAAGAAAGAAAGAAAGAAAGAAAGAAAGAAAGAAAGAAAGAAAGAAAGAAAGCTTTATTGATTAAAGAGACTCAAGATGTTTTACAGAGTATTTATGGCATAGCAAAAAATACAATCAATTACAGTATTTAAAAAGCAATTAATTATATTCTATTAAAGCTAATGAATAAAATAAATAAATAATTTTAAAGCACATTTTAACAGGTTGAAAAATACAGCATTTCCTAATTACACCACCAATTCCTCCCCTGGCAGCAAAGCATTTGCCAAATGCCCACCAGAACAGAAAGGTCTTCATCTGTCAGGGAGAAGGGCCATGTGGAGGTAGTCAATGTGATCTTTTTAAAGAAAGAATTCCACAGCTGGGAGCAGCCACCAAAAATACCCTTTCTCTTTCCTCTCTAAAGCAGGCCTTACCAAGGGTGGGGCCAAAAGACAGTCCTCCCCTTTAGAGCTTAAAACTCAGGCAGGCTCCTAGAAAGAAGTAGGGTCCCAAAGATAGCCTAAACCCAAGTCGTATAATGAGCACTCTGAATTCTGCCCAGAAATAGACCAGTAACCAGTTACATTTTCGTAGCAAATAATATCTGTAATCACTAGAGCTCCAGTTAACACTGTAGAGCCTCTGGAGATTACTTTCCAAAAGCAGCCACACGTAAGGCATGTTATTGTAATCCAAATGGAGCATAATTAAGGCATGTGTCATCAGACATCTCAAAGAAAGGGCGAAGCTGATACATCAACTTGCTCTCCTGACTATCTCTCCTGACCTCTACCACATCTATTTCTTCTTTCCAGGGTTCTGTCTTCCCTTGTAAGTGGGACTGATGGCACTCAGGTGGGTAGGGTCTCACACCCGCCACCATCCTCACACCATCTGCCTTCTCCAGAGAAATCTTCAATTTGTTCATCATATTTATGAATGACACCTCAATATGGACCTCAAAGGAGGCCCTGACATACTCCATACTCCAATCACAGGGATAATCAGTTTTTGAAAGTTCAGCTTACTCCTTCAGAGAGAGTCTGTGACAAAACAGAAGGAATGTGCCTTTTTCTGTAATTCATCACTATTTTTGCTATATTTTGGTCTGTTCCATACTCCTACAAGCCACAGATATATTCAGCACTTAGCAAAAATTAAGAATGCAGGGCATATTTGAGGTTACATTTGGATGAATGGGTTACACATGTATGCAACATCACTTGATCTCTCACCACTGGATAGCTCATGGAAAATGTAAATTATGTGACTAAACTGTGTGTTTCAGTTGACATCTGGTGACGTGCTTGCTCTTTGTCCGTGGGTGATAAACCTTTGATAATGGACATCATCATTGGACAGCACAGACAACAAAGAAAGAACACACATGTGAGAACTGGTCCTTAATGTGTAGCAGTTTTAAAACCTTGTCCTTTCAGAAGACCTTGAGACCTAATAAATCCAGCTTTGCCTCTTTGTAGACTGATACTGGTTTTATCCCACCAGCTGTTTGAATTGTTTTATTTTCCATTACTGATCTTGGAGTATATTTTATTTCATTCTAATTTGAGAATTGTTTCCTATTTGCATTACTTTTTTTGTGAATGGTTTTCATTTTGAAAAAGCAGACTAAATTTATGTAAGTGGGAGAATCCCCCAGCCAATATGGTGGCCTAATGGCCAGTCTTATTGAGGGATTTGGAGGAGGTTAGTCCAATAAATGAACTTCTCTGGGATCTGATCCATCTGGGGGGGGGGGGTACATCCTCTGCATCCCAATCTTTTCTGTGAATCAGTGGTCCCCAACCTTGGGCTTCCAGATGTTATTGGATTACAACTCTGAAAAATCCTGGCCAGCAGAGGTGGTGGTGAAGGCTTCTGGGAGGTGTAGTCCAATAACATCTGGAGGCCCATGGTTAGGGACCACTGCTGTGAATAGAAGAAAGCCCTCAATTTGCAAATAGCCCCAGAACTGTGAAAGGATAAGGATAGGCAGTGCTCTTTTTGCCCAATTCCTGGTGTGGAAAAAAGAGATTTCCAGCCATGGATTTAACAACACTTAGACCAGGAAAAAAATTGATTGTATAGAGTACTTGTACAAGCTCTGCATGGGTTGACTTTCCATGACCTCCACTAGTACTGAGGCAACAAGCAAGTTACTGAAAGCTCATGGGTGCAGGGCAAAGAGTGACAAATAGCATATGAGAAAAGGGGGATTTTGTTTAGTCATGGTAACAGCAGGTACAGGTGCTCTAAATGTTCAAGGAAAGTCTAGGTCATGACATTAGAAAGTCCAGGTAAACATGGAAAGTCCCCTGAGAAATGGGTAGCTGGGGAACTCGGGAAGATTTGTAGGGCATAGACAAGTCTTATAAATATCACTCTGTATTGTGCTTTAACTTGCCTTTGTATCTGGGACTGTATTGGTCCAGATATTCTGTTCCATTGCATACATCTGAGTTCTCAGGAAAAAATTGACTACATTTCAGAAGATCAATAATATGCTAAGATCCAAGCAAGTATGGACAGTCATTACTGTATTGCCTTAGACTTTTTTGTAATCTGTCTCATACTTTTTGTTTTAAAAGGTAGACAGATACATTTAAAAAGCACCAAGACTGGATTTAGATGAAAGGGACCCAAGTTCAAAATCAACCACTGAGTTCACTGAGTGATCTTAAGCCATTCACTATTGCTCAACCCAACTGATCTCAGAGGGTTGTTGTGAGGCTCAAATAAACCAAGAGGGAAGTGGACACACCATATATTTTGCCCTGGGAACCTTAGATGAAATATAAAATGCTAATGGAGTAAAAAAAAGACTGACATGTCCCTGAGTCCACTAATTTAGTCTGATGATGATGATGATGATGATGCACATTCAGCTTTGCATCAGAATAGGGGAGTGGAAAATGAGATTCTGTGTAGATAAAAAAGATGTTGCTTAAAGGCAAAGATAGAAATTATGGGTTGTAACTATAATAGGGGCTTACATCAGCTCATCAGTCTGTCTGGTCACTTACTTATGCTAACCCAGCTTATTGCATAAACAAATGACTTTGAATCAACAGGTTTCTCAAAGTGAAACCTGAGCATCTTTGATCCCAGCTGGCTGTTAGGGGCTGCTGCTGCCGCGAGACACATTACCATTTCACCTGCCAGCTTTTCCCAGAGTTAGTGGAGAAGTTCCCACTTAGATTCTGCTTCTCTGCTGCTATTAAAGTTCAGCTGCACTCTTCTAAGTGCAGAGGCTTGCACTGAGCGGATCCACTGCTGATTATCATGCAAATCAGTCTCCTTTGCGGGCTCCAAAGAGGCTCCCAGCTTTTGCTACCCCCATTGATCCTTTCATTGTCACAGGGATAAGGCTAACCCATCTCTTCTGACACCCAAAGCGACAAAGATAGGCTCCCGTGACAGTGATTGGTAGGAAGAAATGAATCTTTCATGTACGGCAGAAATATGGTTTGATTTAAGAAAAGAAAATAACCATATGTAATTGGGCTTCTGTCACTGTAAATTTTAATGGTAATCGTAACATTGAGGCTCCCGAAACCTTAAATTACAGCTTTCAGTGGCTTTCCACTGAATCTCTCTATTATTCTTCACAGCGACTTTCTCAAAGCATGCACACCATGACATTGATATCACAATTCACAACTAAACTCCAAATTGACTGCAGGGCTGGGAGGTGCGCCCTTGCAGGAATTCTCCACTGCCCTATCACTGAACATCTCTGTGGAGAAAAAGGGCAGCTGCCACCTGTTTCTCAAAGATCTAAGAGACAAAACCCTTGCAGTCACATATCGGTACCCAAGAACGATTCCCTGCTTTTTGTATCTTGTGCCAGCATAACTGCTGTTCTATGTATGTAGAATGCTGTGGTGTGTGTTCTCAGTTCTATTTTACAGATTGGAATCATGGACACAGACGATTATTTTTAAAAGACAGAAGCACTGGAAAGGTGGTTTTATTGCAGGGTGCTAAAAACGTCTTGGACTGAGAAGATGACCAACAAAGAGAGAAGGAGAAGGCGTAACAGACTGAGGAAAATTAAGGAAAATAAATTAAGACCAAGAAATCATAAAACATATAAAATGCAGAAAGCAAGAACATTTCAGTCATGTCTAAGGGGAAAAGTACAAATTATTAGATCATTCAAGGAAAAAAATGGAAAAAGAAGTGGAGGAAGAAGACGAAGATATTACCTGAAGAATGTAGCAAACTGGTTTACACACAACACAGTATGACTATTTCGAACTGCTGTATTCAAAGACAGAACAGCCAATTTCTGAGAAAAGGAATGAGAAGAAGTTGGTATACATAACCTATGGTGGGGGTAACATAATTAACACAAGTAATGAACTTTTGAACTCATATTAAAATCAACTTGTTAGTCTTAAAAATGCCTTAATGCTGTGGTTTTACTTTGTGGTTTGTTTGTTTTTGTTACTCATTACCTGTAGCAATTATGCTAATTTTCAAGTTTAGTTGAAAATTAATCAACTAAATCAAATGCTAAAACTTTGAGCATAATGCACTAGGCATAACAGAATGCAGAAATGTCTGGATAATTGACATTGCGGAGACCTGCTAATAGGAATAACTCACTTGTGGATGAAACACATTTCAGTGGTCCTCATAGTCATTGGGGCATTGGAAACAATGCCACAGAATTGTATAAAATATTATAATCAGCTGCAGGTCTCTGAAATAACAGAGCTGCAAAAATGACAATGTTAAGAAAAGCATACACATTAAACCAATATTTAACTGATGTTTAGGGTTTTGGTTAAAATGTGTATATTATATAATACCAGCCAAAGACCATGTCTTGTATTTTATAATCATCATCTTCATCTTAGAACTGCCGAGATGGAAGGGATCCTAATGTGCAACACAGCTCTGCAGCAAATGACTCTCCAATCCACAGTGAAGACCAGTGTATTCATTCAGCTGGATAGCTCGGCGGTTTAGGTGTCTAGCTGTGGAGCCAGAGGTTGGGAGTTCCAGATTGCCCCACTTGAAGTTGCAGTGGTAGGTGCATACATGATTGGATGTGACCCAGATATGATGTAGAAGATATCCCAAAGCTCTGGAGCAGATCTGTGGGAGCTTGGAGGGACCCAAAAACATGGAGCTGACACACCATTGCATACAGACCAAGGTGATAGCATAAGCTCTGTTATATTAAATAGTTACCGCATGTAGAAAATATGATGTAACAATCACTGGTTGAGTTTTAAGTAGCCAACTTCATACAGTAGCAGGTATATAGAAATGAGGGTGAGCATGCACGACCATCTGTGCAACTATTTCAGAATGATTTCTCATAGAAGGAAAAAATGAATATCTTGTGAGGAAATATAGTGTATACACTGCTTCCAAAATATGTGGATTAAGCCTATGTTAATTATTCTATATCAGTTATTAAACTATCCAGAACTCCTGGATAGCTCAGTGCTCTAAGTATCTGGCTGCAGAGGCAAATATTAGGAGTGATTCTGCACTGTGCCTCCTTGACAGGGCTAAACCCAGTGATCCATAGTATACCTTCTAGCTCTGAAGTTTTAAAATGATGGTGGTGGTGGTAGTGGTGGTGGTGGTATTCTGCCCACCAAATCAATAGGTCTATTGACTATGACTACCTTTCCCCATTGGCTGCAATGGGAAGAAAGTGCAAGTAATAGAACAATCTCTCATATATGTACTCAGAACTCAGCCTTATCGAACTGAATTGGGCTTACTCTAAGGTAAGTGGATCTAGGATTTCACCCTTAGAATAAACAATACTCCAAGTTCTGAAGAAATAAGCACCTGTAGTCTTTAATGCTGCTCTGAATAAACTTACTCCAAAATATTCCAATCTGTCCATGGGTCTGAATGGTACCTTCTATAATTGCCTCCAATGGAAGATGATAGAATTGTCCCATGGAGCAAATACAGTTGCTTCCAGCAATAGCCCAGAAATAATTCCTTGAAAACATTGGGCAAAATCCAACTCTGCAAATGGAACTCCACTGGCACACCTGTATGCTCACACAGAGAGAAATTGTGGGACTGATGGCTGGTAGATATCTATCCCTGGATTTTTGTCATGGCCGTTATTTAACATCCTAATGTTATTTAAAATGTACTGGTTGTACCCAATAGTATTCCAACAGAAAAAGCACACGAGGCAGGATCTTTCCCCTTCAGCTTGCTCAACCACTGGCAGGAGAACTAGTGTCATGGATACAAACATCCAGATCAGTGAAGTTGGAATGGGTTGCACATTTGTTTATGTTACAGCTTGTGCAACAGTTTCTGCAATAGCTAAAAGAACAGACAGTCAAGCAGCTTGTGGAACAACTTGTACAAAGTCCTATGGATCAAAACCCAAGGGCTCAGACATGTGTGTCCAAGGAAACCAACATGTTAGTCCTTAAAGTGCAGCATATATTTTGCCCTTTCCCACCACTTTTTTTTTTTGCCAAGACACGAAATACCAGATGTAAAACTTGTACAAAGATGAAAATGAAGTTTTCAGATGTACTTGCAGCTTTGCTCCATGGGAAACAATGCTTTGCCACTTCCAGAAATTAATTTCTAATTCTTATGCTGTTGGGGAAAAAAAACTTGGAATCATAGCTAAGTTTAAAACAACACTCTCTGAAGTATGTTGCAGGTGGAATGGTCTGAGAGAAATCCATAAAATAACTATTCCTTTCATTATTAAATCAAATCTTACAGTATTCACTGAAAGCGGGAAACACTGCATTACATTTGGTTAATCGTTCCATAAATAGTGTGTATTTTCACAGAAGTCACAAAGTCTGGTATTTATGGGCTAATTATAGACCCCAAATCATTTCTACCTAGATTTTCAATTAAAACTGAAATATTTTCATATAATACAGTTCTGGGGTTCACAATAACATCTCTGAGACATACCAGTTATTAGCTGGATTGTGGATTTGAACATTGTGTGTTTCCAAAACAATTTTTCCCTTTCCTGTCCTTGGACCTGCTATTTTTCCAGCTGGGAGTGGTTAGACTTTAGTGCCAAGGTAGGTTTTTTTCCTAAATAAAAAATAAAAAAGCAGGGACCAAATATTCTTACATGGTCATTCTCACATGTGGTAGATATTAGTGGAAACCAACAATAATTAGACATGCAGATTATTACAAATTCCCTATATTCCATTGTCATCTTAGTATAATACTATTTGTGTTTTTTGAAAAAAGATCCATAGACTTTTTAAAGTATGGGCTGACATCAAAGAACAACTATAATGCCAATTTAGAAAGTATGTTGAATAATTCAGTACCTTGTTATGTGTTTAAATCTGATTGGTTACCTACCCAGATATTGCCCATAAAAATGATTTCCCATAGTAGGACTGGTCTCAGGATAAGAATAGGATCAGGTTTTATGATGTCCATTAAATGGGAGAGCAAGGCTTACTTTGGGCTAATAATATCATGGTTGCACTGGATGATTGATGGTCTTTAAAAAGCTCCAGATTGGTTTCATCTTTCTTCAGATTTTATCACTGACTTGTTCTTACTCATGTGCAACTGTTAAGGCCAAAAGGGGTAACAAGTGTTTGATGTATGATACTTGCAATACTTTTGATTTGTCAGAACTTCTCTTAAAGTGCACTTACACATGTGTATATGATCTTTGCTTAACCCCTCCAACCATCTCCTTCAGTCTCCAGTTTCATATTTCCATCTTATGTGGAGCCTACATGTATGCATGTGATCCCTTTCTCTCTCTCTCTCTCTCTTTCTGTGGAAACGAGAATCAGGACACTGAAGAATGTAGACAACCCCTAAGTAAAGACTAAGTTGCATCTGAGCAAAGTGTGTGCCATTTTGCTCCCTCCCACTCCCCCAAAAGTGGACCAAGTTGTTTCTTCTTCCAAGGGAAGTGGTTTCGTCGCATATTCAATGAATTAAGAAACGTCCGAAGCTGTCCTCTTTCTGCATGATCTATATTCTTAATGCTGTTTGTACATCCTTTCCCCTCCTGCTTCTTTAGAATTCCTTCCCATGTTTACAACCTGCAAGGGCACAGAATTCCATTTAAGTTAAAAAAAGAGGATCAGGAGAGCAGAAGAACAGGAAGAAGACAGAAGTGTAAGGAAGAACATGAAAAGAGGAGACAACGACAATAAGAACTGAAACATTTATCTTTTCCAGCTGAGCCCTGTAGCTGTGCATGTTTTGCAGCTACCCACATGCTAAACATCAAGGCAGATATCTTAATTGGTTGCTAGAAACATTATTATCAGCATTGCATTCATGTCAGCTGGTATAGTATGTGTAAACCACATAATGTTGGGTGGAGGCCAAGATGAAAAGGAGGGAGAGTGTGTGTGAGTAGAGTCCCAAAGGGTTCAAAAATAGCTTTGTAATGTTTGAACAGCTTTCATTTTGAGACCTTTCTGTCAACCCTCTTTGTTCTACTGAGTGCCCAATGAATACAATGCCAGATATCCATGACTTGATTTCACCCAGCATATGTGTATGTGTGAAGGATCCCTCTAGAAACAGATATATGCACAATCCTGCTTGCTACATGCATGCAGACAACCAAAGTGTGTGTCCAAATTAATTGACACATAGGTTCCCTCCCTCAGGTTGAGCTTCTCATGTAGAGTTGACTGGTTTTCTGTTTTGACAATTTAAACACTGTCTCAAGATTGTTTAGCAAAATCAAGAGCTGTTCTTGGCAATTAATTTCTGCAGTCAATAGTATTCTTAAACTGGGCAACTCCCCTTGGAACTGGGAGCCACAACAGGAGGTGGGGGGAAAGCCTGCACAAGTGAAAGAGCAAGACAATTCATTAGACAATTCTCCTGCAGCTCAACGTGGTGGGAGGGGGGATGTCAGACCCTGCTCCTGTGCTTCAATACTAATGAGAGTCATTGCATATTCATAACCCTAAATACAGTCAGCTTCTTATAAAAACTTTTGTCATTGAGGCTTCATGGCAAGAGCAAAGCTGTGCACTCTTCCTGTCGTGGCACTTCCGCCAAGAGAGCGCAACAGCAAGATTGATTGTTTTGCAACGCAGCTTGACAGGGAACTAAGAGATACTGCCCCAAGGGTCCTGAAACTAAGCTTAGTTTGATTACAAGGCTCCAAGTAATCAAAGAAACAAAAAGGGGGGGAGTGGGGGGTTTTTTTGGGGGGGAAGATAAAGGAAGGCTCTAAAGATATAGCTTTCCTTATTGAGTGTTGAGAGTAATTATCTGCTAGCAGTTTAAAACAGTTCATATCAATTTTTATCACAGAGGAAGTAGAACAGTGATCTTCAGCAAACCTGCTCCCATGTTGTAGGAACGCTGCAGCATGTCTTAATAGATACCAATCTCTAAAACCATATGAAGCTTCCCATCAATATCAATAGGGAAGATTAGGAAACTCAGCCTGTCAGATAATAAAATCACTTCTGCCATGTGTTCTTGCTGCCCAGAATTCTCCTGTTGCAGGCTGATGATCCTTTGTTGTCAATTTCTTCTTTTCTGTCTGCAAGATGCCTCCATTAAAAAAGAAATACATCTCTTTTTCTTACCCATATACCAGTATAATCCAGAGGATGCAAATATATATATACTAGCATTCCCACACATGCAGGCATGCCGGTGCATGCATGCACACACATATGTAAGAGCATTGCTAGCCTTTGACCCCACAATGCCTGTCTGGTAGGGGAGCTATCAGCATCCCCTGGAGTCGAAGAAGGGAAGCATGTCTTTCAGCACCCTCTTTGAAAATAGGCCTTGAGCATTTTCTCACTCATAATGATGTCTTCAGCTGAAATGCCAGCGCATTTCCACATCTCCTTGACAGGCGAGCAGACTAGAAGATATACATTAAATTAAAATAGAATAGAATGCTAAAAGAAAGGTTTGCAGTTCTGATTACACGCAGGATTGCTGTAATTTTACAAAAAGCCTGTTTCTAAATGGATCCAGCACTAATACATGCAAAAGCTCTCCATTGCTCAATAAAATATCATAAAATATTAGTGGGGGTGGGGGAGATATCTGTACTGTTAAATATCTTAGTCATATTTGTACAGACTAGAAAAATAGAGGAATCTTGTGGTTATGATTGATTGAGGTACCTGATTATCCACAGATATTATAAGCATTGAGACTTTAAATTATCAGCCATATCAGTCTGATTGCAGTAAAACATGAAAACATTGACTTTTGTCTAGTTAGAGAAATTTATTTTCCCCTGAATGACAATCCTTTAAGTAGAAACCAGGCAGCCTGCCAGCTCTCCGTGTCATACACTGACGTTTGCAAAGGCAAACCATATTTTCAGCTGTTTGTCTGGGCTCAGTGAATGGCGTTCAGGACTTTTACAAACAGTTTCATAATAAATATCTCTTTCACAGATGCTGCTTCGGGCGTCCTCTTAAGCCATGCAAAAGAAACAGCTCTTGCACATTTGGAAGAAATGAAATTATAAATTTGCTTTGCAATGATGTTCTTCTACAGGCAGTCATGCCTTGTTGCTGATGTGAAATACAGGGGGATGAGCTTCGTTGTCCCATTGAGAGCATCTGGATTTATATAACTGTAGTGAAAAAAAAAAGGAACATGGTACAGTAGCTTGAATCTACTACCAATCACCTAATCAAGGAGAATATGAGGATGGAACCTTTGAAAAACAAACTGCAAGAATTTCAAAAAGACAAGATGTAATAGTAATGGGAGAGTTCAATTATCCTGATACAGTCTATTACCCCGCAAAACAGGTAATCTGCAGGAAGATGATTTTTGCGATCACTATAGCAATTCGCAAACTGGTTTTTCCTATGGGGGATTTCGCTGGATGATGATTTGGTCCGTGCTTCACAGACCGTTTTTCGCAAGATGATGATTTTTACAGCTGATCGGCACTTCCAGTTTTTGCAGGACAGCGATATTACAGCTGATTGGCGCTTTACAAAAGGGCTTTCTTATGGGCGATTTTCACTGGATGACAACAATTTTTCCCCATTGGAACGCATTAACAGATTTCAATGCATTCCAATGGGGAAACACTTTTCGCAAGACGATGTTTTTGCAAAACAGCGATTTCAGTGGAGCGAATTAACATTGTCTTGCAGGGCACCACTGTATCAGCTGGAAGACAAATTCTGTTAAACACAGCCCTCCCAAAAATTCTGTTTGTGTTTACCATTTTCTCAGACAAAAACTGGAGGAAGTTTTTGTTATCTGGGACTTGATTCCAGCCAATAGAGATGACTTGGATTAAGTGGCAGTAAGGGGAAACTCTGAGGGAAAGTGAGCATATCCTACTTCAGTTCTTGATTTCAAATGAAACAAAAAGAGTGCAGCCACATGTGTGCACTGGATTTTGGGAAAGCCAATTTTAATAAACTCAGGACAATAAAAAGTAAGCTCAGAGAGGACCTGAAAACAAAAAAGGAAGGAAGGTCAAGCCACAAAGGAGAAGTACAGACAGTTAGCAAAGCATTGCAAGGATTGTGTTAGGAAGGCAAAAGCTGAGAATGAGCTGGGGTAGCAGGGGGTGCTAAAAGCAACAAAAAAGCATTCTTCAGATACAAAGTTGGTTACAGAATCATACTCAGAGACTGATTATAAATGCCTCCTTCTCAAACTGGAATGAAGGAAGAAGTGGGGTGCCACAAGGTATAAACCCAAAAAAAGAACCATGAACCAGTTTGTGATGGTTTGCAGTTCATGGGTAGCCACACGAACCATTATGAACCACCGGTTTTCCAGTTTGTGCCCATCTCTAGTTCAAATTTTTGATATTCTTTTCTCTCAGACTGTGAAGTACCTTTCCATGTTATTTTTCTATAAAAATGTTTTTGAGGAATGAAATAGTCTTAAGCTTTAAATGAGAAAGTGGCTTCACAGTGAACTACAAAAGGATCAGCAGAGGCAGAACCAGAGGAAGGAAGGGAGAAGGGGGAGCTGTGGACTGGAATGTGACTTGCATTACATCCAGTATGAATGGTGAAATCTGAAATCAACTCACAGCCCTTGTGTGAACACAGACTGCAATGTCAAATGTAATACAGGCTGTGAATCAAACTGCAGCAAAGGAGACTTAGGACAATTTGGCTTTCCAGTGTAGTCACACCCCAAATAGTGTATATTCCCACTCTGGGTTATATTACCTATATCACCCTTTTCTTCACTGACAAACTTAGTGGAGGAAACCCTGAAAAAAATAGAGGAGGCAAATGCCTACATGCAAATATCTTCTCTCCCTCTATTTTTTTATTTCATAGTGAACAATGCCAAAAGTCATCCTCCACCCAGTTTACACCATGGCCTTGCCCACTATTAGAATATGGACTCCAGTGAGGTTCAACTGAGGTAATGTGGACCTCAAGATGAAATGTTTCCACAGTCCAGCCCAAGAAGCTATATGAACATTTTTCCACCCTTTCACATATTTAAAATATTAGTTTACATTTTAGAAAAAAAAATTAAAACCTTCTGAACTATCAAACGATGAATGTACCCTGACAGAAGTGCTTGTTGTGGAAGTGTGTCTTACTATGTTCTGGAAGTGTGTTTCTCAGCACTAAAAGTAATACATAGTAGGCAAGAGTGACTCTCCTATCACAATATATATAAATCTGTCAAAACTGTGAAGGTCATTTATCTAATGTCCTCCCCACCACCACCAAAAGACAATCCCCTTTTGCTTAGAGGTGTAACTTATGACTAACCTGGCTGATAATTTTCAGAGGAACAAATTTCGTGCAAAAGTAGGCCTTATAGCAAAAATCTTATTTTTAAATATTGTGTGTATAAGGACAACCACACAAACTGTTTATACATGTTGCAAGCTGTCAGTCATGCACTCAGGTGTGATTCCAACAGTATTCAGGCATCCATTTTAAGACCCATTTATTTCCCTTCCTCCACTCTGCTTCATTGTGGACCATTGCTCTGAAAAGTACAGGTAGCATAGTGGTGATCCTACATAAGAAACGTGGAAAGTGCAAGAACAGTAGATGTAACAGGTTTTTGTGGAAAGAATATTATCACATGGGGAGTGTATTTTCCTTTTCTCCCCCTCTGGCACTGAGAGAGGTTGTTTATCATAGAGGAATCACTAGAGAAAGATCTGGAAAGTACAAAAGCTAGGGGATTATGATAACTAAAAGACAGCTTAAGGCTCCCTCTGCCAATAGTCAAGTACCGCTACTGTTTGACTGGAAAAATGGCTACCTCATGTTTCCATTCTTGCCCCTTTCTATCTCATTCATGCTATTCATCCTGCTTAACTGTCATGGTCTGCTTAATGTACTCAGAAGGTTTAGTTACAGCAGGGATCATTAACCCCCGGTCCGTGGCCCGGGCTGCTGGAACTGGGCCACCGGAACTGGGCCGCCGGAACTGGGCCACGGACATGGACCTCCACTGCCCTGCACACACAGGGGGGCGTGTTGAGCTTGCAGGTGAGTGTGTCATGCAAGTATGACATGACCACTTCTTGTGCGAGCCTGGCTTTGAATGCCCCCAACCGTTCCGCAGACAGAGCCCGCAACCCCCCCCAACTGGTCCGCAGTCTGAAAAAGGTTGGGGACCACTGACTTACAGTACTTGAGAAAGGAGAATATGCAAAAGCAATGTGGAGTACTTTAGAAAGGAGAATATGCAAAAGCAATGTGGAAACTGGCAACAGCAGAGTTGAAACTATAACGCAAGGTATATCTATGCTATTAAGTGCTGGGAGCAGAGGAAGTAGGTAGTCACGGAAACTGAGGGAGGTGGGACTTTTTCTAGAGCCCAGAACCATCCATTCTAGGCAGGCACAATCTCCCTGGCTACAACACTGAGCTTGAAACTCAGGCAGCAAAGGTGAACTATCCCCTCAGGCTGATAGGACATCTGTACTCAGAAAGCAGCTAGGGGACCAGCTGTCAGAGGCAAACATTGAAAGGTTGTCTGGCTCATGGGCAGAATGATGGTTTAAGTGGTGGATGAAGCAAGCCTGTAGCCAGAGTCAAGCACCTAATTTTTAGTAAGATGCAGCCTCACAAGGTGGACACGCCACTGCCCCGACAGTGAGTAGAAATGACACACTAAGTGGTAGAAAGTGAGCTATGAATTTGAGGGACAGTGTGCACCCCAGGACCAGCAGCTATTTGGATAGCAGGGGATATGACCTGGCAGAGGCAACTGGTGGTGCAGGAGGAGGAGGAGAAAAGAGTTTTTGCAGACTAGCAGAGCAAGGAGGCTGGTGGTGGAGGAGGAAGACAAAGCTGGCAGCAAGAAGAGGGGGACACACAGGCAAGCAGAGATCTACAATTAAAGAACTTCCTCGCCAGGCTTGCTAAGTTCTCCTAACCGAGCCCTGTGGCACAGTGGTTAAACTGAAGTACTGTACTGCAGTCAAATCCTCTGTTCACAATCTAAGCTCAATTCCGAAGGGTTCAGGTAGCTGACTCATGGCTGGCTCAGCCTTCCATTCTTCCAAGGTCAGTAAAATGAGTACCAAAGTCATGGTGGGGGGAGTGCTGTTTGCATAATTATGTTGTAAACCACCCAGAGAGTGTTTTAACAATATAAGGCAATATGTAAATCAAAACAACAACTGTGAGAGGGATCAATGTACTAAGCAGTAAATGGTGTGCCCAGAGTTTTTACTAATGTGTCTGTGCCAATCAAACAATAAATGGGCAGCACAAGGAGGCTGCATGAAGTGCCCAAGACAAGCAAACTTTATGCCCATGATGTGACATCAGCAGGAGACCATAGGACAGACCTCACTACCTCATCCTGCTCTAGACAGAAAAGGAGAGAGAGAGAGAGGGAGGAAGAACTGCAGTCAACCACCTCTCCATAGCTAATTTGTAAACAATCCTCTTGCCAGGTGGATTTAGCCCAGTATTGGCACAAGTACACTGTGTGTGAATAACAAAAGATACCTCAACGGTTGGTACCTCTGAATTGAGGCAGTCAAAGGAAAGCCACAGAAGGAAAAATAAGGCTCAGTTCAGTTACTACAGTGAAGAAATCCATTTTGTTTTGTACTTTTAAATGAAAATAAAAATGATCAAGGTAACAGAGAGAGAACAGCAGCAGCATGAAGATTAGGCTTGGTGACTCAGAGTTGGAGGCTAAGGGACATTTTTTTTCAAAGGGAAGATGTCACTGTGAGGAAGACCAACTGCTCCAACAAGCCAACATCCAAATGGCTGGGGGGGGGGGGGGAACAGCGTTATGATGTTCATCACTGAAAACACCCTCTCACTTAACAAAATCCTCCCACAACTAGCTGTAGGCGTTTGCAGCAATAATCCTTCCTTGATTCCACCAGCAAATGCAAAACAGCTATTTAAGGGTCATCCAGGCAGATGAGTTGGTAGCTGCCTCTTGGCCACATCAGAGCCCTCTACCTTTGTGGCAGCAAAAAGGGCTACAGTGTCACTGATGTCTTGGATATTTCTCATGTGTCTTGTAGACAGATATTCCCCGACTTATCAACATGGTTCTACTATGCCATGTGGTTTAGCATCAGGTATCCAGAGCTCTACTCCTTTCATTATATCCAGGATCATGTGCTGAGAAAGATCTCTATCT